CCCCAACCCGCCCCAATATATATATATATATTTTTAAAAAAAATAGCGCGGAGACCCAGGAGCGCGCTCCCCACCCTTGCCGTCCGGGCCTCCATTCCATCCAGCGAGGAGCAAATGATAGGGTTTGTATTAATTCCGGGGTGAAAGGCCAAGGGTTTCCCTTTTCAGCATAATTTAATTTCTTTCTCTATAAATACTAAATGTAAACTGTAGCCACTGAACCAAGCTTTCGCCTGTAGCCATAAAGGCCTCGTTTTCTGTCGGATTTCGGGACACAAACGTTCCAGGAACGTGTTTTTGAATACAGAAAGGTAATCAATCTAGCACAAGAATAAAAAGGAGGGGGTTGATCCTCCCCCCCATTCTGCTCATTCTTGCTCCCACTTCCCCCCCCTCCCCACCACCCTCTCCCTCTCCCTCTCTCCCCTTCTCCCTGTTATAATGAATTAATTCGACTTTATTTATCCCATTTTCTGGAGCTGACAGAATGTTAATTTGAGTTGAAATTTCTCTCGCCTCTCACTCTCTGACCCCTGGCCCCCAGACTGGCGTGTTGTAATAACCTGAATCTTTCAACAGAAGCCCTGATAATTGTTACCTTATTAGCATGCAAATTGTTTAATTAATATTATTATGGAGAAGCATACAATCCGTCCGTCACTTGACCTCGGGAGCACGTCCACGTTGCAGCCGTCTCCGTGCATTTCAATGGGCCCATTTCAAAAATCGACTTTCCAGGCCTTTCGTTTTTTAAAATATATATATATATTTTCTCCTATGGCTTTATTATTATTTAAAAAAAAATCCCTCCTCCTCTTATTTCATGTTTCCCGGTTCCTTGTTGAGGTTCAAATGAAATCATATAAAGATCTCTCTTAAAGTGCTTGAGAACAGTCTTTCATGGTGGTGGTGGGGAGCAGAAGGGGGGGGACTTTGATCTCCCCCTTCCTTGATATCTCTTTATATTACACTCGATCTTTTAAAAAAAAGCGCGCGCACACGCACACACACACACACGCGTGGGCGCGTGCACATGAGAGGCCTCGTTTTATGTTCGGTCCCTGCTTTTTTATGTCTCTCTCTCTCTCTCTTTCTTTTTTTTTTAATGTATTTTTCTTTTTCCAACATCAAAATTTTTAATAATTGCTTCGTCGCCCATGGCTCGTGCCTTTAAAGCCGAGCCGTTTTCCGAGGGCTGTTCGTACCCAGCCAGGCTGGTTAGAAGCACAGAAAGAAAGAGAGAGAGAGAGAGAGAGAAAAGAAGGGGTGGAGGGTGGCAGCAAAGAAAAAAAGAAACGAGCCCTTGACACGCGGTCCTGGG